GACCGAAGGGTAGAGGAAGTTGCCAGCCCTGGGCAGGGTGAATGCAATACAGAGAATGGCATCTCACCCATTGAAGGCCGAAACGCTGGCACACTACTTAGGCAGTCTCATGCTCGCGCAGCCTTTTCAAGCCGTCCTCTTGCAGAGAGTTACGTACACCACTGCGATGAATATAGGGATTGCGTTCCTTGACGGTGTGAGGTGGATGTTTTCGCGACAAGGCTCCCACAGCCCCACCCAGACCGAACATCCTAAGTAGATCACAGCAGCAGCCTCGCGTCCCAGCATGATTTGCTGTTCCCCTCTGCGGTCTGTCCAGTTGCACAAACTCAGCTCGCCAGCTCGTGGTGCGCTACAAACCGAGAGGAAAGTCTTACGCTGTCGGATTGACATTTGGCAAAGCGAGACGTTACAATGTACAGCTACAAAGGAACCTTCGCAACCGCCAATCGCACAGACCAGGTTCGCACAGAAATTTCGTTTTTTCTTTTTTTTTCTTTGCCAAAAAAAAAACAGCATTCAGATACGTTCTCCAAGATTGACATGGACAGCCTTGAGATTGGTGTAGCTAGTGAGAAAAACGCCCCAGAATCAGATCCCTATGGAATTGATGCGAGAACAAAGATTTACTTAGCGAGCGCATATTCGCCAAGCTCGCGACCGATGCCAGATTGCTTGTACCCTCCGAATGGTACGTTTGGATGCAGCGAGTTCACGCAGTTGATCCACACCGTACCAGCTTGCAGCTTGTGTGCGAGCTGAATCCCGCGGGTGATGTCCTGAGTGAAGACCGCGGCAGCAAGGCCATACAGAGTGTCATTTGCCTGGCGCAAGACGTCCTCCTCGTCCTCGAATTTGATGACGACGCAAACTGGCCCAAAGATTTCCTCTTGGACGATGCGCATGTCCGGCCGTGTGTCGGTGAAGATTGTTGGTTGGATGAAGTAGCCCTTCGTACCGTGTCGCTCGCCTCCAAGGTGCACCTTTGCGCCTTGCTGCTTGCCCGAGTTGATGTAGTCCAAGATCCGCTGCACACAATTTTTATTATCAGAATCACGAATGACATAACACGTGGGAGGTGCAAACATCAAATTGAATCTGGGAGACTTGGGGACCTTGGTCCGAAGCCTTGGCGAATGGGTCTCCGAGCTTGATCGACTTGGACTTGGCAGTAAAGCGTTTGAGGAACTCATCATAGATACCCGACTGGACGAAAATACGAGAACCAGCACAGCAGCACTGCCCGTGGTTCCAGCTGGTGGAAACTTGGATGAGCGACAAAGTTAGCGAGACAGGTCAGCACGTACTAGATGCCAAAGGCAGACCAATCGACGGCAAGGTCGAGGTCTGCATCATTTAACACGATGTTAGGTGACTTGCCCCCAAGCTCGAGCGTGACGTTCTTCAAGTTTGACTTTGCCGCAGCCTCCATGATCTTTCGGCCAACGAGCGTGGATCCAGTGAACGCGACCTTATCAATGCCCAAGTGCTCTGAGATTGCCTGTCCAGCTGTGTGACCATAACCGGTAACTACATTAACGACTCCAGGAGGGAAACCAGCTTCGTTTATCAGAGAGCAAGCGCGCAGCGCGGTCAGAGGGGTGAATTCAGAGGGCTTGAGCACAATAGCGTTGCCGGTGGCAAGGGCCGGACCAAGCTTCCACGCGAACATCAAGACTGTCCCGTGTCGATCAGAGAGGAAGATAGAGGAAGGCGAATAAAATCCGAAGGTCACGTACGAGGAAAGTTCCAAGGGATGATCTGTCCTACGACACCTATTGGTTCATGACGAGTATATGCAAGCTTCCGCTCGTGGGTCTCGACGACCTGCCCGTGGATCTTGTCTGCCCATCCAGCATAGTACCGGATCGTTTCTATCGAGAAGTGAACATCAACCGCCTTTGCCCAGAGGAAAGTTTTGCCGTTGTCAAGTGCTTCAAGGGCAGCCAGTTCGTCTGAATGCGTCTCCAGGAGGTCTGCCAGCCTGTTGAGGAGCTTCCCGCGCTGTGCTCCAGGAACTTTGAGACCCCATGTATTTTCAAAGGTGCGCTTGGCAGCGGCGACGGCGCGGTCAACGTCCTTGGCTGTACCTTCAGCGATCGACGTTATCACCTTTCCAGTTGCTGAACGGACTCGTCAGAAGATCAGGGACGTCGCACGTGATTCGCCAAACTCACATGGATTGACGACGCTGGAAATATGATTGAAATTCCAAATCAGGTGCATCGTCATGGCAATGCAGGTGTGAGGTGCTTACTCGATGGTACTACCATCGGAACCAGCAGAGAACTGACCGTCGATGAAGACACCGGTAGGGAAAGAGACCTTTCCCTTGAAAGACTCCGAGTCGAACTCATAGGCGAAGGTCGTCGTCGTCGTCGGAGACATAGTTAGGGGGGTGGAGTAAACGATTCTGGAAGGGCGACGACTATTAAATAGAACAGCGAAGGGTCGGATGCTAAGCGTAAATAATTGGTCATCGAAGCGGTGTTTGCGACGTCGAAGGCAGGCCATGAAGTCACTGATACGTCACCGCAACCATTTCTGCTATTAGCCGACTCGGGGGTGATGGCAGGGTCAGGTCAGCAGGTTCGCACTTGAGTCTGCTATACCGACTCGGGGTGGTGGCATGGTCAGGTCAGCAGGTTCGCACTTGAGTCTGCTATACCGACTCGGGGTGGTGGCAGGGTCAAGTGAGCAGAGGTGTGTCGCATCACACAACATATACTAATGAGAGGTGAGACGGTCAACACTTCGCGAGCAGTCGGCGCATCTCTTGCAGCTTCCCGGCTCCGCGCCCGGCCGCCCTCCCGAATAAGATCACCTTTCCGCTCCTCCCTGCTCGCGCCGTTCGTCCCGCGCGATGAAGAAAGTCCGCCATGTTCTTCGGCGGGTCTAGGACGAACACATGACTCACGCTTGGGTCGAAATCAAGACCACGCGCGAGCAGCGAAGTACTCAGCAGGACACGCGGCGACTCCCTCTCCCCTCTCACGACGACTTCCTCTTCACCTCCCCCACCTGACGACTGAGAGTGCGCGAGGATCTTTTCGCCTGGCACCGGCCTGAGGAATCCCGCGAGATGCTTGCTTGACCCAAGCAAGCGCCCCCCCCTCCCCGCCTGTCTATGACTCTGACCGGTCACGACGATATTTTCCACTCGGCTCTCAGAGAGGTACGTACCCATCTCGCCAGCGCGAGCCCGGGTGTTGGCAAAAATTATTATTCGCGCGTTGTCCCGACCTGCGAGCGCGTCATCACGCCAAATGGCCTTCAGCTTTGCGAGCACTTCGGCATTGCGGTTGCCCGACTTGTACGGGGCGAATTCGACCGCGAGGTGCGTGGGGAGGCGGTGTAGTCGCGGGGAGACGAGACGTGCCATTTCTGGATGGTGAGAATCCAGGTGAGCGGCCAGAGCAGCAGGGATGGTCGCCGAGGTCAGGATAAAATTGAATGGATAGTCGAGCAGCACCGGTGCGTTGGACCTGCTCTCGTTGTCACAGTTGACAGCGGGGACAGGCTTCCCCCGCGCAGCAGCGATGTCACTCAGTAGGGAGAGTGTTTGGTCGACAAAGTCGGCATCTATTCGATAAACCTCGAAAAGTGATTCTGTGCTCTGATTAGGCACACGCACCGAAAAGAATGTCCGCTTCGTCGACGACGACCCACTCGATTTCCGAAAGGCTGATTTCAGGACGCCCCACGAGCGACTTTCTCCGTTGCACTTGGTCGTTCTCAGCCAATTCCTTGTCACTCCCTCTTCCACGTGCCATTCTAAGCACTCTGGCGGGTGTCCCCACGAGCACGTCTAAAGCATGGCTAGTCCTCGGCCCAGGATATAACTCGAACTCTCCTTCCGCGTTGTCACCGTCAAAAACATTAGCCATCTCCGCAGCTGACATCCGGACCTTCGCGACATTTGGGCGTGACGAAGTTTGCACGCGCAGTCGGGAGTGGTGGACAAGTGCCTTGGAAAAACTTGCCAGCTGACGGGAGAGCTCGTGAGTTGGTGTTAGCACAAGAGCGCGGGGGCCAGAACGTGTAGATCGCAGATGCTCGGTCATCTTGAGGCTGTGCAGCATCGGAAGGAGATAGGCTAGGGACTTGCCTGAGCCTGTCTCGGATGCAAGGAGGAAACGTCGATAAGCATCAGAAGGTTCGGCGAAGAAAAGGTATTTCAACGAGAGGGATTGTATCAGCGTTGGGCGCGCACTGGGACCGAGCAAGTCGTGCACGGACTGTTGGAGGCCGGGTGAGAGTGGGGGAGAGGAGAAGGCGGTAGGGAGGGCACGCAATGCATCGGGTGTCGTCGACAAGTCAAACTGTTTATTGAGATAAGACCCAGGCTGGTTACGGGTTCGCACGTGGATGTCATCATTCCCTGACGAGGGTTTGCCTTTTTTCATGCCCTCCTTGAATTTTGAAGATGTTCTAGTCAGGTATCCTTTCCCATCCGGCCGCCGTGCGGCACGGAACATTTCATTGCCCCTCCCCGAGGAATAAGGAGTGAGGTTTCGCGCAAATTTTGACGATGCGTCACGCGGGGCGACCTTGAACAGCTTGTGTGAGGACTTGGGAGGGAGACCCCGAGCTGGTCTCGGTGTGAGCTCCTTGACCTTGACCAGGCGGGTGCGAGATGTCCGGGGCGTGGCTGAACCGACCGGTCAGATGTATTCCTCTAGCAGATGACATGACATGCTCACCTGAAGCAAAACGACGGGCTGAGTAGCAAGCAGTCAGGTCGCAGAGGACGAAATCCAAATTGACTGCGCGGCTCAGATACTGTGACATGGCCAGTGTAGTGATTGGAAGGCAGAGGGAGTCATGGTGCCCGGGCCGAGGCTGCTTCGTTCGCTACTTGCCTGCCGCCCGCTCATGGTACATTGCTTCCTGCTTGGGACCTCTACATTATTCCCAAGCACAAAGGGGAATGAGCTGGCGCATAATGATTGTCTTCGATGCCTGAGAATTAAATTTAGCCAGTTGAGTGTTTTCACGATGCATTGTTGGGGTAGTGGTAACCTGGATCGTTGCCAATTACCACTTCGATCCGCCCCGGGTTCAATTCCCGGACAATGCAATTTGTCTTTTTTCTCTTATTTTATATATATATCATACTACTCGAGGACATTGATTCCCTGATTACAACACCCAGGTATTTTTACAACAAATCTGTGTGGCAAGTACTATGTTGAGATGGAATACCCTTGTCCTTGTCCCTGAATGAAGGCACACAGAACAAACTGATGCTTCATGGCATCCTACATGTGCCCTGGGAGGGCTACAGGATGGAGCTATGCAACAGGCACCTCATCATAGTGAAATGCACAGGTAATGGGGACTATCAGGGTTACCTGTGACCTATGGGTCTGGGGCCACTTAGCCAACTTAATGTGCTTATTTTATACTTAAGCATCTTAAACTGCTTAAGCTGCTTATTGCTTGCTTAGACATTAATTTTTAAGTATATGTTAGATAACTAAGCACACTGATCAAATCAAGCCCAATGTCAAGCATGTTAAGTAACTGTAAGAATACCAAGTAAGCAAATGAAGGCAATGTCAAGCATATCAAGTAGTTGTAAGCCCACAGGAAGGCAAGTAAGAGGTCCTCACCAAGACACCCAAGCAAGCCAAGTCTGGGCAAACATGATGGCAGTGCTAAGCACAGAATTTAAGTACATTATTAAGGCAATCAAAAGAAGTGTATCAGAAAGCAATCTCAAAAGTATGGTGCCTTGATTGTAGGATTGGCCTGTCATGCATTGAGGGAGATTGAAGAATCTGCCAATGGGGTTTTAAGTGTTGGGTTGGTCTCAAGCATGCAGAGGGAGGGTTGAGGAGAGGAAATAAGAAATGAGCAAAGACAAAAAAAATGGATGAAAAGAAAAAAGGAAACTGCACATGAGAGATCAACACCCACAGGAAATACAATATAGCACAGTGAGTAGGTGAGTGAGAATGTCACACCTCCATGCTTTGGGACAGCACTGGCACACTGCCAGTTTCTGGTTGCATGAAACTTTCATAGCTATCAAGTGAAAACCCAATCAATGTGGCCATCAGGTGTCTCAACTATGGTGACAGTAGCATTGTCATGTTTTGCAGAAAAAGGGTAGAAAATAAAAAACACATCAGTGCCATGCACATGTGCCCTAGAGATGTTCTGGGTACTGTTGCCTTTGGCATTCAGGGGTCTTGAGTGTGGTGCCAGCAGTAGTCATGTCCCACATCCTGAGACATTCCAGGTGTTGCAGAGGGCCAACAGAGATGAGAAAAGGCTGGCTGACAGTTGCCACAAGGATGGTGCGCCTAAGGAGCACCTTATCACCTATGTTGGAAGGAAGGAAGTTGATAAGGGCATCAAAAGGATGCTATAATGGGTCTGGCTGTGAAAGTGGCTGTTTAGAGCAACTGTTGCACTTTCCATGAAACATGTCCAAGGAAGACAGGGCAGACAGTAAGAAGATGAAGGAATGCTGATTCAAGATAGATGGGTCTGGGGACATCAGATTGCTTTTGGAATGTGGGCAATGGATGTTTGGGGGAGGCACAAGGTGCCAAAGTCCCCTTGGTGACCCTCAGTGAGCTCTCTGACCCCACTTCTGCCCAGTTTCTGCCATGTATGTGCAACACATTCAGCACATTCCAATGCATTCACAAGATGAGTTGTGCTTGTCAGCTCTCCAGAGAGGGGCTGTGCCAGATGAAGAATGCAAATTGCAGGCTGTACTTTGAAAGATAGGGAGGGGGTTCAATGGGATGCAATGATGATGAGGGAAAATGCAAGGTGTTCAGAACTGACTAGAGGAGCATGGTCTAGCAGTAAAGGATGGGGGATGAAAAGAAAAAGAAAGAATGCACCACAGGCTAGTGGCATGAGACAACAGGCTGTTGACCATGTCTTTGTATTTCACAACATCTTGCATAAAAATGAATGGAAAGTGCACAAACACAGTTTAACATGCAAAATCACACCCACAGCAATTGAGGAGAGGGAGTAGGGTATGAGAGAGTGGTCATAAAAACAAACAGGAAAATGCACCTGGTCAGTGCAATGTGCAAGAAATGTGCACATGATAGAGAAAGTAACAAAAACAATAAAAATTGAAAAATGTGGAGGTCTATGCATGAAAATTATAGAGCTCCTGCTGTGACATCAATCACCATGCCCAATGTCATCCAGGGGATTGGGGGCCAGAGGGTCAAAGCATCAGGGGCCTGCTTGAAAGAAGGCTGATGGGATATGCAGCACAAGTGTGACTGCCCATGGAAAAGAGGGGCAACTGTAGTGTGCTCAAAAAAAGAAAACTTTCACACTAAGTTACAAACAGGGGCTGCTCATGATGTGTACTCTGCTGTCCTCTCTTCTCCACACTGTTGTGATTCCCAAGCACAAATGAGCTTGATCACGAGCACACAAGGCTGAGTGAGGGATCCCCTCACTTGACATTCATACCCAGTAGCAATATAGAGTATCTGAGTGGAGCTGGTTAATTAAACCCACTCCAGACCTGGCCTAGCATATTACAGTAGATGTCAATTGGCTCAACATTCATTCCATTCTTTTGAATAAGTCTCTGTTTAGTTTCTGCCTACTTAAAGGAGTAGATAGTTCACCCTTGTCCCTCAGTGATTGCTCATGCATGCAAGTCACTGAGGTGCATTCCCACTTACTTATCATTCCTTATGTTTTATAAAGCTCATACCTGAATAGTACAGTCATTACATTATTCAGGTAAATATATCCAAAGTGATCACTCATAGGTGCAAGTCACTAAGTACAGTCATTACATTATTCAGTGATTCTCATGTGTGTGAATGTTGCAGGTCTCCTCAGACGCTGCATACACTCACTTAAAACAATCCTTCCATAGCCTCAATAGATCATTGATTTCTTACACACACCCCTCCCTCTCCTCCAGCCCACTCTCCCTCTTTCCAGGCTCTGCCATCCTTCCAAACTCTCCCCCAATGAAGCAACCATGATCATGTTCAACATCTCATGAGTGTTAAGGCTCCAAAGTGCCTTAAATAAGATCAATGGTTGTGTCTATGAACACGTCCTACCAATGCAGATATGCTTGAGTCAAGCAAGCAGTACTTGTGGAGGGAAGGAGTGCTAGATCCTTCTAGAGTATGGCAATAAGATGAAAGGGGCTCTGCATATGGGATAGGAGTCAACTGTTTGGGATTGACAAACTAAGTTGAGCTTAAGGCTCAACTCCTATGAACTGGGGGCTTTATATAGCCCTCAGGGATAAGGTTCTCACTACTTGTAAGTACTGGTCAGTGCTATAGTAGCAAGGACAGCTCATAGAGGCAATAGTTGCTTCTGTGTAAATGATCTCAGTGTTGGAAGCATTAAGTGCTTCCATAGTAGCAATCTTGGTGTCATAAGTACTTTCCCAATCAGGGAAGTGACATACATGGCAGTACAGGAACATCTGGGACAGAAGCAATGCAACTCATTGCTTCTTCCACATGTCTTCAGAAAGATACAATCAATGCACTCTGAATACAATATCAAGGAACATAAATGGTCAAGATTTGATGCACACATGATGCAAATGATGTGGTCCATAATTCAGGTGTTCTGGCATCTTCTGGACCCCAAACCACTCAGTAACAAAAGGTCCCCAGTGTTGCCTTGTAGTCTGTTCTAAGGTTATTCGAGGTAGTCTGATAACATGTTTTAGGGTCTATAGTATCTTCATCAGCATCCAATACAAGGGCCTTAGGGTCATCCTAAAGGGTCCTTAGAAGGCTTCTAATATTGTCCTTTACTGTTAGATGGGTTGTCACCAAGTAGGGCTTGTCGTATGTCAATTGTGCCTAGAATCAATCATGCCACAATGCATGTATGATATTGTGGACACCTCTCCTCACCCCTTTTGGCTGTGTGGACAGGGTGGCACCATGGAGCCCAGGTTTCCTCTAATAAGGGTCCTTCAAGGGCCCTCTCCAGAAAATGGTTCATGACAGCAAACAGTTGAGTATGTGCTCCTGTCCTGTCCACAATATGATGATGCACACTGGAGACACCTGTCATCAGGAGGCCACCCATGTCACCTAGCCCACTGCTTGACCACCCAAAGTGGGCTCAGAGCACACTTCAGTTCCTGGAAGAAAGGCTTGCTTTACTGATGGAAAATGAATACCTGGGAGGGAATGAGGAAGTACCACAATAGGAGTAGAGAGCAATCATGAACAAAGACAAAGACCACTGCACACTACACCTAATTAAACACTGCCTTAACACATGAGTGGCTTAGCTATAACCACAAATGCCTGAGCATAATACATAGCTACCCAGCCCATGACCACCTCTGTACCATGCAGTATGCACTGCAGAATAAAAAATTGATAAAACAAAAGTCCATCACAAATGGGTCTGTGAAGTGGTCAGAATAAAAAATTCACCAGGCCATTCCTGTCGGACCTCCAATTTCTATTTCAAGTCCTGATACAACTAACCCCTGGTCCCGGAATCAGGACCCGAAACGCCCTTGATCTGATTGCTCTGCGCTCTGCACGGCTCCGAGCTGTACCTCTACGTATCCTGTTGCTTTGTGCGTCTCTCGGCTCTCACGTTGCTTACTCATACGCGTTTTACTTAAATTTTCTTTCCGTGCGCGGCTCAATCTGAACGTCTTCTCCTTGAAACCGGTTGATGCCGCGGTCCCAATCACCCGTCGAATACTCGTAACATACAGTAGTTCATGAAAAAATATCTTTGCCATGGTAAACGTATATGAACTCCGCTGCACTGATGACTGTCCTCGTTCTCTCCCCATTCTCATGCCTTGAGCTTTTCGCATCTTGCTGCGCTAGACGTCCGTAGTTACCTCTCGCTCGGTTCTAAACCAAAAGTGTCCATGATGCGATTTACGCAGAACGGTCGGTAATTCCCGGGTTGAGCGAAAGATCGCAACGTCGCGCGTGCGGACACTGACCCTGAATTCTGTGCTTCAGCTGCGTTTGATCCTAGGTATCGCGTTGCATGACGGGTGGCGTGTATCTCCTTTGCGGCGTAAAACTCGGTTAGCGTAGGAACTTTTCAGGCGCCCAGGTCAACACA